TTTTGTGCAAGTGGTGACGAGTGGGGCAAGGCCCTTTTTTTTTTTTTTTTTTTTAAAGTGTGGTCCGATGGACCACGAATCAGATATTAAACTGATCACCACGAATCCGATATTAAACTGATCAGAACAGATACTACACTTGATCTTAGCCAGGCAAGGCCCAGCGTACGAGTCCATGTTCTAGCAGAAGATTCATTCCTTGGGGCAAGGCCCTCAGGGCCACTGCTCGAAGGAGAAGGAAACAAAAAAAAAACAGAGGAATGAGTCTTCTGCTAGAACATGGACTCATACGCTGCCATATGTTTTGTCTTTTGTGCAAGTAGTGAGGGGTGGAGCAAGGCCGTTAGGGCCACTGCTCGTAGGGAAACGAAACAAAAGAAAGAGAGAGCTACGGTAGTGAGTAGTTGTAACGTGTAACCCATAACTGCTGGAGACAGTGGGCAAGCAGACCTGACTTCGGATCCAGAACATATATTGCTGGCCTGCTCCTTTGGCACACGATACTTGCTGAACGTCTCTTCAAACGTCGGAATCTGTGCAGATGCATTGGGGTCCTTCGGGAAAAATACAATTCAACAAGGAATTCGTATGCTCAATTTTCTTTCATGTGGGAGAGGCACCATTGGCTACCTCAACCAGCCGTTCCCAATTTTTTTTTTTACTTTGGGGTGTTGGTGATTTATTTATTAGGGGTTCTGGACCCCGAACAAAAAAAAAAAAATGCGGGGTGCCGACGGGGGCTCGGAGGGGGGAAGGCGGGGAGAGGGGGGGGGGGGGGGGGGGGGGGGGGGGGGGGGGGGGGGGGGGGGGGGGGGGGGGGGGGGGGGGGGGGGGGGGTGCGGGGACCGGGGGTGCAGGGACCTGGGGTGCGGGGCCTGGGTGCCGGGCCAGGGAGGGTGCGGGGACCGGGGGTCCGGGGCCAGGGTTGGCGGGGGTCCCGGGGCCGGGTCCGGGGTGCTGGGTGCCGGGGCCGGGGTCTAGCGGGGGTGTTGGGGGTCGGGCGGGTGCGGGGGTCTTCAGCGGGGTCCGGGGGTGAAATCTCGGCCCCGGCTTTGCCCCCGGGGGTCCCCGGGTGACAACCCTGGTGGAGGATAACGAAATGATGAGCGAAGGATGCGCGTTGGAAGAATTGTTGATTCAGACTTTGGAGAAAGGGGCACCTGCCGTAGTGGCGGAACTTAGGGAAGGGTCAGTCACCACTCGAGGACGCAAAGAGGAAAAGGATTCGTGGGGAGCGATAGTAGGTCCGAAGAAGGAATTGATAGCAATGGCCGTTGAAAGAGGTCGGAAAGTCGTGATGAGTTTAGTGGAGTCTTGAGAAAGAAAAGAGTTGCAGCTGATGGTAAACCAGATGCAGGAGAAACAGGGTGAGGATCAGGAAGGAAAGGAGTTTTTCTACGTTCAGATGCACGAAGGGATCTTTCGAGAAATCGGATCGTTGCTGGGAGGAAACAGGCAACCCATGGAGGTCAGCCTTAAAGCAAGGGAGGAGACCGAAAGGTACGTCCTAAGGAGCAGCCATCTGTCCAGGAGGGAGGAAGGCGTTATGCCTAGAAGAGTCGTATGCGGAAGGTCTAGGCAGCTGGACGTGATCCAGGCGATGCACGGCGGACCTGTGGGGGGACATCGATCGTCCAAAGGGACCCTTGCAAAGATAACACCTCTCTATTA